GACTAGTTACAATGAACAAGCCAATGAGCTATATTCAGAAATGTTGTTTGATCATAAGGCATGCATTACCATACTATAGTCAGAACCAAAAATAAAACACACAGACACAGTTGTACCAAAGTTAATTATATTAGGTAAATTAAATTGTAAATTAGTAGAAAATTAACTTTAACAAATAATATTTATACATACAATATACATATAGTTCAATGGTGTCATCATGTAATAAAATTCACTGCTTCGAGGGTCGAAGACTTAAAAGTATATTTTTATGATATACCGGTACCTTTTGTAATATATTATACAGTGTAATTTGTATACATGTACGCTAATGTTTCATTAGTTGAAATTTATGTAAATTAAAATTTAACGTTTAAAAAATCTAAAATAATTGTTCTACCTAATGCATATTAATGGTGATTTTCGTTACTATTAATATCATTCTAAAATCATGAAAATATACTTTTAAGTCTTCGACCCTCGAAGCAGTGAATTTGTATACATGTACGCTAATGTTTCATTAGTTGAAATTTATGTAAATTAAAATTTAACGTTTAAAAAATCTAAAATAATTGTTCTACCTAATGCATATTAATGGTGATTTTCGTTACTATTAATATCATTCTAAAATCATGAAAAGGAAGTAGTTACTTTAATTGTACATAATTCATTCTGAACACATTTCAAATTTGTTTTGGAGTCTGCAAACTCGGTTAGTAATTTGTTTTCATTGTATTTTAGAATTTGTAGTTTATAATTCATACAGTTGTTTTCATCTTCTAGTTTCTCTTTTCTGAGTTCACATTGATATTCTGCATTCGCAACTTTCTTGAGCGTTCCCGTTTGAATTTCATACTTATTTAAGAGTTCTTTAAATAATAGTCTACCTTCATTTTTAATTTTATCACTATACCATTCAAATTCTTTGTGTATTTCTCGTAAGTCATTTCTTTCATTAACCACCGAATCAAAATTTTCTAGTTTTTTATTTAATTTACATATCTGTTCATCTTTGTTAGCTATAACTTGTTTTAACTCTTTTATAGTTTCACAAGAAAACATCTAGATAAATAAAATCATGYATAAGTGTATTGGATTTTAAACTGTAATTAATAATGTGTAAAACTTACTTCGTATAAATTTACTATTGATAATATATAAACTTAAAATAAAATTGTATTTGTAAAATTAATATTGAAATAATTTAAAATCAATAGTTTAATAAAATGTGTTTGTAAATAATTTTTTTGATATATATTTTAATTTAAATATGCTGTTTGTATACATACAAACTAAACATTTGTTGTCATATATTTTATATTAGTAAACAAAATCATCTAGTATTTGTGATATAAATGTAAAACTACGAAGAGATATGAAATAAATTTAATGGGAGTTAAAAGTTTTAACTAGAAATTATAAAAGATATTTGTGAATGATATTCTTGAACTAAAATAAATTATTTAACAATAATGTTAAAATTGAAACTCATGATTCTTATTATTATATCTTATTGATACCCTATCATAAATATTTTTAAATATACAATAAATAATGATAGATATGTATTTGTATTACCTAACTACTAAATTTGTTTGGTAACAATTATATTGAAATGCATTTTTTTTATTACGAAATTATGAAACTGATAAGTAGGCGTAATATTGTTATAATATTGTAAACATAGTGGGATAATAATATATTAAGATATGTATACATATATGCATTTATAACAAGAATACTATGACGACAAAGGTAATAAATAATAATAATTAATAATAGGCAATTATTGAATTAAACATTTTGTAACACATAAGTTAGGTTAGTCCACTTGAGCAGATATTTTTTGTGATGTTTTGTACTTTTTTTTACTAAGGGAGTTTTAAACATATTAAAATTAAGTCTAAACGTGCAACATCCGTGTATAGATTACGTCATGCCCGATCAAAGATGGCTGTTTAATATGTACGTCTAGCCGAAGCGATGGGTTTTACATATTGTAGGTGAACAYGCCGGTGGGCAACAGGATGAAAGGGAAAAATTCTGATTTGCAATGGAAATCACCTCGATCTGTCTTATTGAATGCTCGCAGTCAGCTGACACTGGTCGTGTGGCTATTATAAAAGGAAAATCTGAACGTGGCACACCAATTGTCGAGCGCAAGAGCTCCGCACACACGTTTAACAGCCACACCAACAACACATACACACACATTTGAGGCTTGAGCTGTGCGATTACCGACGGTTGAAAAAAAATTTAATTTTAACAAAACAAATCAAAACAATTCTAATAGTATTTAAATATAAATAATAATTATTATTACAATGGAGTTTGTATTCAGTTCTTTAACATACTTGTTACTCTTCGTGTTAACTGCGGTATTATTATTCCTGATTCAAGACGAATTGAAAACGAAACAAGTGGACCACAGCACTGGTCTCGTCGAACCTCTAGCACCAAAAACGTGGCCGATAATTGGTCATTTGTACTTGATGGCCCGGTATAAGGTGCCGTATCGAGTGTTCGACGATATAATGGCTGACTTGGGATCCGTTTTCCGCTTGGATCTGGGATCTGTACCGTGCGTTGTCGTCAATGGATTAAACAACATTCGCGAGGTGTTAATGATAAAAGGTGACCATTTCGATAGCCGTCCTTCGTTCCGCCGGTTCAACCAATTGTTCAAAGGCGATAAAAACAACTGTAAGTATAATTTATCCCATTACACGAAAATATAAAAACGACGATTTTTGATTTAAACCCTAATTCAAATTAAATATATTTTATTATTATTTTTATATAATAGCACTGGCGTTTTGCGACTGGTCTCAGCTACAAAAAACCAGACGAGAGTTACTCAGAGCTCATACTTTTCCCAACACCACGTCCAATATGTATAGCCGACTGGACAAGTGCACGAAAACCGAACTGGCTGATTTAATAGACACCTTAGACACCATGGCCGACACAGAATGTGTAGACATCAAGAACATGTTGCTCCATACTTGTGCCAACGTGTTTATGTCGTACTTTTGTTCCACGCGGTTCTCCAGATCATATGACAAGTTCAGAGAATTTATTCAAAATTTTGATAACGTGTTTTACGAAGTAAACCAAGGAGCACCCTGTGATTTTCTACCCAGTTTAATACCTCTGTACCACTGGCGTTTCAAAAAAATCAGAACATGGAGCTCAAAAATCCGCAATTTTATGGAAACTGAAATTTTCAACAAGAGAAAAGCTGAGTGGGTGCCGGGCACCAAGCCAGTGGATTTCGTGGACAACTTGCTCGATGCCGTCACACAGCTAGACAGAGACGACGGATTTGATATGGACATCGGGCTTTTTTCACTTGAGGACATAATCGGCGGTCATTCAGCCATCACAAACTTCATTGTCAAGACGTTAGGATTCTTGGTGAACAGACCGGACGTGCAGCGGCGTGTTCAAGAGGAAGCTGATGCCGTGGTCCGAGCTTCCGGGTCAGTTGGGCTCTCCGACCGATCTCAAATGCCGTACACCGAGGCCGTCATTTACGAATCTCTGCGACTGATCGCTTCACCAATCGTACCACATTTAGCAAACAGAGACACTTCGGTTGATGGTAAGTCCCTAAAAATAACATCCCTCAGTCGAGTGATCGTATTTACTCACAGTTTTTTTTTACAGGCGTCCGGATCCCGAAAGGCACGACGGTGTTCTTAAACAATTATAGTCTGCACATGAGCCCGGAACTTTGGAAAAATCCAGAACACTACAGCCCGGAGAGGTTCATAAATGCAGAAGGGAGGTTAGAGAAGCCGGAATACTTCATACCGTTTAGCGGTGGAAAACGGTCGTGCATGGGATACAAACTGGTGCAGCTTTTGTCGTTCTGCACTATTAGCACGCTGCTTAACAAGTATACACTGCTTCCGGTCGAAGATGTATCGTACGAAGTGCCAAAAGGAAACCTGGCATTGCCATTCGTCACTTTTCCCTTCCGGATCAGATCCAGGAACTTCCGGAAACAGTGAGTCAAAATCTGTTTGAAACACAGGTGATCCTGAAGTGGATACGAAAATGACGGTCGTTCAGCGACGCGGATTAAGCTTTTGTGTGTGTGTATGTGTTTGTGTGCGCAAGCTTATATTTGAGAAAATGTGTGTGTATGGCAATTATTTGATGAGTCTTGCGTAACTTTAGGCCCAATCCAATTATTGTGTTAGGAGTGTGTGGTTTTGCAGTTACGTAAAACGAAAACGTGTAATAGCTATAGCTCGTCCATCCGTATTAATATTAATAGCGATACTGATTAGTTTATAGACCGGAAAATGTTACCAAGATAGTTTCAAAATAAATTATTTGTGTTGATTATTTTATTTATTTGTTATTTTTATTTATGTCGGCGCGATTTAGTAAAAATATACATTATATCGATTGTTTCATAGTGCGATTTGTGAATTACCTTTCTAGTCTTAAAAAATATATAAAGGTCGGATAGTTTACAATTAATTATTGTTGGAGAAAATGTTTTTAAAAAAAAAAAAAACTTTACAAATTTAGCTCGGTTTGTAAGACTTAATAAATTTTTTTTAGGTAATATTTAATATTTATGCATAAAATACATTTAGTGAGGGTATAATTATATATTTTAGAACAGGGTTTGGCAATCTAGATCCCACATGCTCTTCGGGCATTTCCAATTAGGTCTGTCGTATGAATCATAATTTAAAATAATAATTTGAAGTCTTATCGGCAGTTAACCTGATTTAGTTTTTTAGAATAAAAATATTGCAGTTTGTTGAATTGAAAATAGTCTGTCTCTATTTTGATCTCCATTTGAAAAAAAAGTATACCCGACGCCGATCCCTGTTTCAGAATATAAACCAAAGATAATTTATTGTTATTTCTGTTTATTTTGTAAATATTTATTGACTAGTAAGTTGTAGTTTTTATGTGAATACTTGTGCACATACTTTTATATTATTTTGTTATTAATTGTATTATTCAATATTATAGTAAGAACAATTCAGAACTTAATTATTAAATAATTTGTATAAATAAAACTTTATGCTATAGAATTTGTGTATGTTAAAATTTAATATAATTAATTGTTTATTAAATATCTAATAAATAAATATGTTTATGATCTCTAAAAAAAGTTTAATATTCTTTAATAGCTTAAAAATAAACAAACAAAACATCTGTTTTCTATTGAAAGATGTATGATTTAACTTATTTTTTTAAGTAGGTACCTACCTATTTCTTTAAATGTTAAAAATCTTAAATATACATAAAAAGACAAATATTTTACTTATAATTATTGATTGTTAATGAAAAAGTAAAATTATTTGGATAAAAAAAGTATACCTAACATTATTTTATTACAATTTGTAAGGACAATATAGTTTTTGAAATCATATAATTTTCAACAACATGTAACATTTTTAATTAAGTATAATGTTTATTGTTTATAAATATTTATGTTGTATTAAATATATGTWTTTAGTAATATAGTGTACTCATTAAAAATATTTTGTAAATTATTTTCGTCCTTGAAAATTTGAATCACAATAAATACACATAATTTGAGTAAAACCTTGATGTTGATGAATTTCTAACTTATCGCTGGTAGAAATCCAACCACGTGTATAAATAAAATGGATACTATTTGTATATGAAATAATTATAATAAATGAACTCCAGTAGTCAAAAATGATAGATATCTTAAATTATTAACATAAAATATACGTCATCATCTATACAATTTAATATTTCATACTTGTACTAAATTGTTAAGTTGTATACATTGTATGTTTTGTTTCAAACATATAAGGAATATTCAATAAAACAGTCATTGATATACGTATTAAAAAATATAATAAATAATATTATGATATGAATTTAAACTTTTAAAATATTTTTTTTTGTAATTTTAGCTTACATTAATTATTAATTAATGGTTAATGGTTTTACACTTGACAAACCTCGAGGCCTGAATATTGAATTCAATTATCCATATTTAAGAATTAAAAACCTCATGCTCCTAATAGTGTAAGATTCATTTGTGTCGAATTGTTAAGCACTGCAATTATAAGTAAATACCTATTTCGCATACATGATACATGGCAGTAGTTTAAATTTTATCCTATTTAATAATTTTATAAAAAATATAAACAATTATATTAAATTTATATAGATATATGAATCTATGTAAAATGCTACACGCACGGGMTAAAATAGTTAAATACATTCTATTAATGAAAGTTGTTATGTTATTATAATAATAATTATTATTATTCGAATATAGGTAGTATACTGTTACGTAATAAACGTTTGTCTGTGAAATGTAAGTTTGCAAAAGCTATTCATAATAAATCGAATTTCAAATTATATTTTCGGAAAATAACGATGTAGTCTTCTGCTCGTACACAAAAGGACAGCACATTGCAACGTTCAGATCATATTATTTTTGCAACCGAAATGACCAAGGACTGAATAAATTATACATAATTTAATGTTTAAGATCGAACGTCCATCTTCGATCTTCGTTTGTATATAAAAAGAATGGTATATAAAATGCAATCCATGATAGTCATTTTTTGAATATATTACTTTAGACGCTAACGCTTACATTGCTAGTCGCCTAGATTTGTTTTAAGCATATCAATGATTACTCTCTGTCATACACTGTTTAATTTTCTATTGCGCAACAAATCACGTCGTTTTTTTCATATTAGAAATTCATCATTTCAAACCCGATCACTCAATAATTGAAAGTATTCAATACCTAGCAAAAGTATATAGTTGTTGTTATTTTCCGGATGGAATGTATAATTTAAAGAAAAATTATCATTAAATTGACTAGGAACATAATATCATTGCACCAAAATTGCTCTAATACTCCAATATTCGTTCGAAACACTAAAACATCAAGTATAAAAATATACATATTTATATTATAAGCGAATTGCGGCTATATTTGTACAGTGACTATTCCTACCACTGGATATAAATTATATAAATTGTCTTAAATTACTATACAAAAGAATAACTTAAAAATGTGTACTTAAATCAAATAGAGGTTACTGTAGACCAAGATAAGTTATTGTTAAACAATTAATTGATCACATTTTTAATAGAATATAATCTACACTTTTAAAAATTTAGAGTTGTGTGTACAATGGCGCCGATCCTGTATGTTAAATGTGGCGACCGCCACAGCTAATTTAATGGGAGAGTATTTCCTAGCATTGATAGTTTCCATAGTAGCTTAGGTTTCATACAGTGTAGATGTAGGTGAGTGAGTAATGAATAATGATTATAAATAAATATCCATTTTTTGCAGCAAAATTAATTACATATGGGAACCTTGTTTTAAATTTTCAATCCTTACTTAWAAAATTTTAAACATTTCATAAATTTTTAACAACTAAAAAATTTGTAAATTTTCAATTAAACAAATTTTATCAAAATTTTAATTTTAATGGTAATAAAAAAAAGTGCCTATGTATTTTTAATATTTTCCAACTGCTATTATTCAAACTAATGAAGAACCTTATATTAAATTTTCAAATTTTGTGACCCAATGAATACATTTTATCGACATTTATAGAATAAAAACAAGTGACAAATATTATAAAAATGTCAGTATAAACATTCAGTGAACATTTTATGTGTATACGGTAATTTGTTTTAGAGTTACGCCAATATCAAAATTCAATTTTTTCAAAAATAAATTTTGCGTATAATTTTCCGTTTTTCCTTAATTTGTGTTTTCCCGGTGCTTTTGAAAACTACTGGGAATTTCAAAATTTATTTTACAGCCCAGTGCACCAACTAGATTCACTTTACAATCGGTTAACCTACTAAAGTTGAAAATCGAAGCATTATTTAATTTCGAAGACTTATCGTGTACACAAACACAAAAAACACACTCATCGCTCCGCTCTGAATCTAAAAGTTCAAGACTAGTAGGCAGTAAGTAATAACATATTGTTGAGATAGGTAAGGTACCTATGTAGTGCTACGAAACAATTTTCATTGGACGATACATTCCATCTGCAAGTAGTGTAGGTAAATTCACTTCTGCGCCTGTAACATATTTGAATAATATTTTTTAAATATTTATTAGGTATGAAATCTTACATAGAACATCAGTTAAGTAAATAATAAATTTTTTACGAACGACGAATGAAATGTTATTATATTACCATTTTGTTCGTGTAGATACAGCATGCACATTTTAATAACTGTAATTTTTTTTTTTTTAATGCTCAGAGTCAGTGTCACATTTACAATGCATTTATTTAGAATTTTAAAAGACTGCTTTGGGTCAGCTAGGATTCGTAATTGTTGACCCTGTTTAACAATAGGCTTGTTTGTAAATGTTGTAATGTCAAACATTGYAATCATACGTATTGGTCGATAAATTGTAATACATTTGGTACCGTATAATGTAAATATTTACAACAAATAATGCATAATGATTGTATTGTACATTTGTACCTAAGCATTTTGTTTGAGGAACGCATTTAAGTAAAATTTTTATTTACCAAATACTAAAGTGATTTATCTTAATAAATTAGTGAACGTAGGATATTTTTTTTTTTTTTTAAATTGTACTTAAATAGTCATCTAACCTTCTATTTTGTAATTTTAACTTTGGATTGAATATTTTTGAACATATTCATGAATTCTCAACCTCATTTCTTATGTAACACCATATTATGCGGTTTTTATATCTCTTCCTCATTTGAATTGCCCCTGATTACAATATAATCCGATGCTCGGGAAATAGATAAGTGTTACAAAGTGAAAACTGAATAGCACACGATGACACGAAATGTACAAAACTATTTTGGACACGGCATCAAAAGATAATCTTTGTTCCTAAATTTACAAAATAATAAATATATGTATGTATATGTTAGCTACATATTATATACATAATATTACTACATATAGGTATACATGATATTATCTACGTGCTTATATAGATTGTGTATCATATAAACAATACACAACTAAACGCATTTATATAACCTTTATATTGATTTTTATTCACAATTACAGTGGGTGTTAAATAAACACTGTATTACAATGTACTGCTTATAGGGTGTCAAATAGGCCTGTTTGTATAATTGTATAAAATTGGTAATCTAAATAATTAAATCATACTACTTAATTTAATATTTAAAAACGATATATATATATATATTAAATAAGGCAACAAAAATAAACAAGCAAAAATGATTAGGTGTAATGTGCAACATCAAAATTTTGAGACATCCTGTGTTGAAACATTTGAAACCTATCTTTAACGTATTTTAAAGAAAGAAATTATGTGCTTGATGGAGAAATCAGTTTCACAGATATGACATATGGGGGAGTCATTCTAGCCATCAGGAACCCATAAGTGACTTTGGTGTTCTTTAAGTTAATTTGAATTCATATAAAGTCAAATAAGTATTTAAATTTCTATTTGTATAACATGAACCTAACCCAATAATTTTAATTTCGCTTAAAATTATTTAAATTTAATATTCTGCATTAATTTTTATAACATTTAAATTGTATTTTATCTCCCTTAAAACATACTCTAAAGTTTCAAATTTATTTTACATTTCTTTATTACATGACATTCAATTACTTTTCTTTTGTTATTTTAAAATTTGCATACCAACTTAATATAGGTAGCAGATAGGTATTATTTGCAATTTTTGAATACAATATATATTTACTTTTATGCTGCGGAATAAATATTTACTATTTAATATTTTTAAACTATTTGAATTTTATAATATTGAGATAAATACGGCTCTATTAATACTTAATATATTATATTATATTTCTGTCGTATTGTTATGTACAATAATATATTCATTGTTGGAAAGTAAAACAGTTTTATCTGCGATGACAAGTAAGTAGTGTCTAAACGAGCCAGATGATGGTGTACCTATATCATAA